TATTTTAAATACGCTCTTCCAAAAGGGCTGGCAAAAATGAACATTCTTTCAGGTTATTTGTGAGGCAAGTATGGCTGTTAGCCATATGAAACAGCCATCACCACCCAAGTAAGATGATCTTAGCTACTACTTTAAAATAACATAGTGCCTTTCTTAAAAAGGCTTTAGAAGATTCTGGCACTCTCCAGGGACAAATGCTGCAGCGAAAACAAAAACTGGCTAACGTCTGAGCACCCTAAGAAGCATGAAAGGTTTATTCTTCTGTTTAGCTTTGTAAGGTAATAGGCTCACAGGAAATCCAGATGCAGCCTGGAATGTACAACTAATTTAGCTACATTGGTTTCATTTTATGCTAAACATGTCTATAATATTATTAATATACCACTCTACATTTCTACAGTTGTAAGGTCTTAATCATAATAACGCCATGCCTGTACTTTACTCACATAAGTGAAATTAGCATTTCCATATGAACTAGAAATGCATAATTTGTCAATACTTCTCCTTAGGATTCCTGCTATGACATTCTCAATGATTTCATCATAATTTAGCAATATTCAAGTATGTCGTTTTATGCTCATAACAATGGTACTATCTTGTGTGAATTTCCTTTGGAACTCAGCTCCTTAGAATACAATAGCTTCATTCGCACGTGTCTCACTGCCTAACAAAATCAATCAGCTTCAAGTCAGTTAAATATTGTTCAAACCTTTAACTATAGAAACCTCAGTGATGTAAAGCATTTAATCCATACTCTGCACAATTAAAAATCACTCTTACATGGTTTGCTTTTATTTCATGCCTTTGTAGTTCATTGTTATCATATTGGTCTTCTGCTTCTTTTTGTACTCATTATGTTTTGGTATGTATCAATGCTTGGGTTTGCCCAAGTTTTAACAAGGTCTTTGAGATTCTTGAGCAGCTGCTTGGGTCCTCCCCCAGCAACAAACTTACTCTCATAGATATGCCACTATCTCACAGACATGTACTCGCTGGCCCTTGGACCTTCCTCTTTTTTAGACTGCCCACTCTGCCACCATGTACAAGGAGGTGGCAGTTGCCAAGTAATGCTGCATCTGCTCTTTTTGATCTAGCCCTCACATATGGGAAGAGCACTGCAACATCTGGAAAGATGGCGGTAGCAGCACCTTCAGTATAGCAAGATGTTAGCGCAAGCAGGTAATCAGGCAATTATATCCTCTATTTGTGGTTGCTGTAATGACTTGTATTCCTACAATCAGAAAATAGGCCAAGGAAAAATGAGGAGGAGTGGAGGCAGATGTGCAATTCCATATACTGATATGCCCACTAAGTTTATGATTCATTCATTCACTCAATACGCTTTTACTGATATGGTAGTGAATCAAGGCAGACCAAGACTCTGTTTTCACAGAACTTACAATCTTCATGCAGAGATAGATGCTAAAAAAGTAGATACATATTAACGTTATTTTGGAGAATAAACGCCATGGAGAAAAATACGTGTGATAGAGAGAAAATGGCCTGGAGGTGTGGTGAGGGGAACATATGGTCTGAAATGTAAAGAGTCAGCCATGCAAAATCAGCAAAAAGACCTTTCCAGATAAAAGAAATGGCATGTGCAAAGGCCCTGAGGCAGGAATGGGTGTGTCATACACCAGGAATCAAAACGAGAGCAATAAAATTGGTGCATGTGGTCTGTGTGTATGTTGTGGGGATAGCTGAAAAAGCAGGTGAGATTAGACACTGGGGAGGGATCATAATGAAGAGATCCCAGGGTAAGAAATTTAGGTTTTTATTCTAGTGACTTGATTGGTCAGTAAAAGATTTTAAGCAAGGGACTGACATGATCTGATTTACATTTTAGAAAGATTGTTCTGAATACCATATGGAGGAAGGACTGTAGAAGGACAATAGTGGAAGCAAGGAGACAAAGAGAAGGAAATCTTAGTCATCCAGTGGCAACTGGCTTGGCCTGGTGGGGGGAGCAACAGGAATGAAGAGAAGATTGAGTTACCTCGTATTGCTCATGATGAGAAGACCCTCCCCAAAGAGGCTATGTTCTGTCACAAGTGATCGATGTTTTTCACATACCAGCATTCTCTCTTACTGTACTAGTTCAGTACAGTTCCTTGCAGGAAACTGCCACTCATCCATCCAATAATACCTGACAGAATGCCAAGTCGACTGTCATTTTACCAGCTAGTGAGAAAAAATAAACAAATAAAAACCGTGTCCCAGTTCGTGCTTTTCTTCAGGTATAAACTTTGCTTACCCTTAAATGGTTATTACATGTTAATTAAGAGTCAGTATAAGAAACTGTTTTGTTACAGATTAAGAAGTGCCTAACAAGATGGGCAGACACTGGTTAATTGCTAAACTTTACTAAATATTCTGTTACATATCTAATATCTCTGTTTATTTTGCAGGCAATAGCTATCCAGCTAAATCTAAATGGAATGCCTACTTAAATATCTTGAGGCTATAAATCATGTAAATAACACTAATATGTTTTCTCAAGAGTTTACTGATAATATTGAGCTGCAGGGCAAATCTAGTGTTAGGTCATTACATTATTCAAAGGGTCCCAGAAGTTTGCCTGCTTAAAGGTATCTTTCTTTACTGTCTGTAAATCACATTCTCAGTCCTCTCTGCTTTTGGTAGTGAATGTAGGAGCACCGCCTCCGCAAGAGGAAGAGGATTCACAAGATGTGTCTCGTCATGTTATCATGCACAAAACAATTCATTAAAGTAATATTTTTGAGGCCTACCATATGACAGGCATTGTGCTAAGCTCTGGGGAAATAATAATGTACAGAATTGACACCCTACCCTAATGCAATCTAATGAAGGGTATGAAAGCCCCCGGTAGAGCAGGGCCACACAACATCATTGTACAGTTATAAGGCAGGCCTTTCAAACTTGCTCTCCACTGTAAAACAGGACCAAAATTAATCACCACATATGCCCAATCCTCTCTGGTGCTGAGAAATACTGCATAATAATAATAACATTCAGAGTTCTTATCTTCAGGAACCCAGGAACTCACAACCAAGATAGAGAAGGAAAGTGAATACACATTGAACAGAGAATAATATGGACCAGGGAGTCATTGATAGCTAAGCTATCAGGGAGCAGAATCAAAACACAATGGTGGTTCAGAAAAGGTGATCAAGAAGGAGCCTTCTTGGAGAAAAATGGAATTTTAAGTAACCCTTGGCGGATACGTAAGAGGAGGATGGAGGAAGGCAAGATCTTATGCCTGGCCATGAGAACCAGCGTGAAACAAAGTACGGAGCTGGAGGAAGACGCATCTGACTAGCACGGAAGAGGAGAGAGAGAAGGTTGCAGAGAGACGCTGCATCAGGAAGAATCCTGAATACCTGAATGAAGACTCACACATCATCTCATCATCTCATACTTAGAAGGCTACTTTAGATTGTGGAGGAGTGAGATGAGACACTGACAGCTTAGCGAGATTATTTTGGTAAAGGGAAATTAGAGGTCAGAAGGAAGATGAAGTAGAGAAACTAGTTAGGAGACTAATAAAGTTGTTGGTGACATGATGAGAAAGGGACGAACGTGATTGATTATATACACTATTGCTTTCTAATAATGGTAAGGAATGAATTCCTTCCCTCAGAGACTTTACATTAGTGGGAAAGGTAAGTTGTAGGAAACTATGTGGGGCTAGAAATGGAAAAAAGTTAGAATGAAAAATAACTGGTTTTGTAAGTTGGGGTCAGTGAGGGTCTTGACAGGCACGATAATGAGTGTGGCTTTATTCTATATGCAAAAGAGAGCCATTAAAAGCTTTGAGTAAGCGAGTAACATAATCAGACCAGTGTTTTAAGAAGATGACTAGCCAGCAATGGAGTCGAAGATGTACCGGGACAAGTCAAAGTCAGGAAGACCAGTTATAAAGTTTCTGAAACAGAACAGGCAAGAGATGATAAAAGCAGGCCACAGGGCAATGACAGTAGAAAGAGAAGAAAGGTGAAGACTTTTAGAGGAATTTCACAGGAGACTGATGAGATTTGTCAACTAATTAGATATGGAAGTTGAAACAGGACAGGAAAAAGATTCCTCTACTTTGTTGTTGTTGTTGTTCAAAGTCCAAGCTGATAAAATGGGAAAGTTGAGTTAAAAAGCTAGTTTTGGAGGAAATTTAGAAATTCTACTTTTAGAATTCTGGCTTGGTTCCTAAACTGGTACTCAAATAGCCTGTACCTCCAGACGGACATGCTCACAGGACACAGCTGTCACAGGAATGACATTCTTCACAAAGAGGGCTATCTCCGAGTTGTGTAATAAACTAAGCCCCCAAATCAAGATTCCCACCGCCCCCCCCATATTTTTCCTTCTGTTTTCTTTCTTTTTCTCACTTGTTTTGGTAGTTTAAATATGTAAATATAGCACTAAGTGACATATCTTCTAATAATATGAATCTCATTTTCATTTTTAAAAACATGTACACATAGCAGTTAACTGATTCTGTTTTAAGAAGAAACACAATCTGAACTTGTCTCCCTCTGCTGGTTGCACATTGAGGTATCATGGGTCTTTTTAAACCAGAGTAATAGTAGAAAGAAAAATATCCAATAATAATTTGCAATGCACAAGTATGGGACTTTGACGTCCACAATGCGTAGTGACACACGTAATTTTGTATTTTTTTTTTACTGCGCCATGAGATATATAGTACAAGTATTACTACTCCACTTGTCAGAAAACACTTTGCGATTTCAAGTCATTAAGCTCTCATATGAAATTAGAGATATTAAAGGAAAATCAGGAAGCATATGTAGTTAGAATAATTGTATAATGTTAAAGCTGCAACAGACCCAGAAGATCTTCTTGCACAGTCCCCGCATTTTGCAGCTGAAATACAGAAACTTAGAATTTACACGGTTATTCAGGATCACTGAGATTAGTATTCAAGACAGCACAACTCTCAAAAAGTGCTCTTTCTATTGTACCATGCTGCCTGACTAATAATGTCAGGATGTTAATCCTTTACATCATAGCTGAAACATGTACACGAGTAGACTAGATTAGAAATGCCTTTTTCTCTAAGGCTAGATATACATTGCAACCAAGCAATCCACATCTATGTTAAACTTATAAGCAAGTAAGAAACAAAAATAAAAGCAATGTGCATCAGTTGGACAAACAGAAAATAAGACAAAGACCAATCCTCGATTAGCTGTTTGAATAGATTTGTGCTCTGTCCAGTCTGGGCCTCTAGAACCATAGGAAAGGCTTGAGATGATTTTTTAGGAATGCCAGAATATTACAGATTGTGTCAGCAGAAGAGCTGGGGTGGAATTCCTTACCCAATGACTTCCTGGGGCACTGTTTTCTTCCTCTTTATATGCCTTCCATAGACAGTGTACTACAGTTCTCTGTCTATTCACCTGACATCCTACTCGCCAAACTTGTCTCCATTCTTAATGGATATTCCCATTCTCTCTTGGCAGAAAAGAAAAAAGCTAATTAAAATAATTTATACTTGTGTGGAAGTGACTGATAAATTCCAACCTCTGAAGGGATATTATACAATGGGAGTTTCCTGAACTCTAATAGGTGAAATATGTAGAGAAGATATTTTTGAATGGGAGAGTACTTTCATAACTCTTGTTTCTTACTGGCAAGAGATAAAGACCTTTGGGCCAACAACTGTGAAAGTACCTTAAGAGATCTAAAATTAAAAAAAAAAAAAAAATCTACATGATCTTAACCCATTAAATCATAATATCTCTCCACACAGAAGAAAACTTCGTTTAGACCAATTCAACACACTGTGCCTATTAAAAATAGTTTTTATACAGGTAATAGGTATTGGTGAGGAATAGAGAAATAACAATGTAACAAAATTTTATATAATACACATACACAGATATAAGCAAATATAAACAATTCCAAAATGTAGACAATTTCCAACACACTTGGTAAATATCCCCCATACTCCTATCCAACAATTTATCAGATAAAATTTTCACACTTTTGTTTTCAGTAGCAAAATCAAAATGAGAGTCTTTTTTTTCTTTAGTGGTGTTCTCTTTTTCTACTGCAAGAAAGCATGACAGAGTATTGATCTTAGGATGGAATCAGGTTGGTAAGTGGCTAGAGAAACCTTTTGTGCTGTTTGGAAGCACTGAGAATGGCTGATACCAGTAATATTCACTGTTTCAGGGAAAATAGATTATAGGTAGAGCTTTGATCGAGGAAATAGCTAGCCTGGATATAAGGGCCAGGCTGTTTTGGTGGGTAGGAGGGTAGAGAAAAGGATAAGCAGGTGTGAATATTTGGATTGTGACAGCCCTAAGTGAAGAAGAGGGAATGTGAGCCAACATAGGCATCAGAGAAGAAAATGTGTAAGGAAGTAAAGGGAAACTTGCACTGTGATAAATTATCTCTTAAAATAGGACATTTTGACAAAGCGAGAGAGAGGCATGGACATATATACACTACCAAACGTAAAATAGATAGCTAGTGGGAAGCAGCCGCATAGCACAGGGAGATCAGCTCGGTGCTTTGTGACCACCTAGAGGGTGGGATAGGGAGGGTGGGAGGGAGGGAGACGCAAGAGGGAAGAGATATGGGGACATATGTATATGTATAGCTGATTCACTTTGTTATAAAGCAGAAACTAACACACCATTTTAAAGCAATTATACTCCAATAAAGATGTAAAAAAAAAAAAGAGAGAGACAGAACATAAAAAAAAAGGACATTTTTATCCATCAGCTGATATGATAAGTCTAATGCTGCTGCTTGTTTTAATGTATATATTAACAGCAACTGAATAAAATTATTTTCCTTGGGACAAAAATGATCACTTAGCTATTAAGGAGCAATACTATGTGACAATTCACAACCTCTTTGCATCACTACCAATTTGGATTACATTATTTTTGGTTTGTAACGTTATTAGCAATAATTTTTTATTATTTAATTAAATAATTTATTGATCACCTACTATGTAAGTGGGTATTCTGAAAGATCTGTGGGAACCATTCAGCATGGTCTCTATGATAAGAACCTTCTGTAATAAGAAATTTTCAAACTTGCTGGGGAAAGATCGACAAATGGATTGGTGAGTGATTCAAAAACTGCATATAATTAAGTCTGCAATTTTGAGAAAAGTGCCCTAAAGGCAAAGAAATTCAAACATAACGAGATAACTTCACCCTTCTATACATCAGTCAGGATACTATGCACTGAGGTCACAAAGAAGCCCAGGGAAAGATTCTTGCCCTCAAAGAGTGAACAGCTGGGAAAGAGATACGAATAGTTAAGCAATGACAGTAAGTATGAACTATGCAAGTACCTCCATCGTACTGTGTCCACACAAAGGACACCACCTGATCCAGGCTGGAGGGAAGCTTTTCTGAAAGAGATGGTAACTGAGATGTGTCCTAAAAGAGAAGGTAGGACTTGGGGATGGGGTCCTTAGGGATATTTGGGATGTTAACAGTTGGAAATGAGTACAGGGTAAAATTCAGGAGGGCCAACAAAGGGATTAATGTCAAGTTAGGAGCCAACATCATGGAGCAAGTCATGGGGGCAGGGAAGAAAGGAGAGGATCCATGCTGGGGAGTAGTAGGAAACTCAGATAAGGGGGGGTGGGGGGTGGTCGGAGATGGATTATAAAGGTCTTAAAAGACAAGAAGGGAGAAATCTAAACTTAATGCGTTAGTAAACAAGAAGCATTTTATTTTGAGGGGGCAAGTTCTTGAAAGTGGCATTTGATGTAGCAGTTGTATAAAATGGAGGGCTCGGCTAGGATATTATCTCAGTAACTCAGGCTTGAAAGGTAATGACCTTTCAGTGGGGTGGAAAGGAAGGATAAAAGTAAGAGATACAAAGAAAGGGTCAAAAGGAATTGTTGAGTAACTGGATATACGAAATGGATAAGAAGAAGATATTCAAAATGAGACCTGTGAATCCCCCTGAGTTTCTGGAGGATGGGATCATCATTGATAGAGATAAGGGAGTTGAAAAAGCAGAGTGGAGTGTACTGGGGACGGGGTGGGGGGGACTAATCCCTCCTAACCATCAGGCCTGCCATTTGGTTAGCTACTGCTACTGGAGGGAGTGTGCTCCTTAATGGATTTGGCTGCATCAACTCAATTGGTATGAATTTCCCAGATGTGCATAATTAAGAAAGGAAAAATGTCAAAAGGAAACCATATGATCCTTTTGGTATTAATGCTTATATTTATAATTACTCATAAAAATACCATTAATAATTCTCTAATGTCCACTCTAAAAATGTGATACATGCTTTGGAACATATCTAAAATATACATAACACCTGGACTAAAGTGGGCCTTACTCACTAAAGTTTGATTGTCCTTAAATTTCTGTTTAATATAACCCTATTTTTTTTTTTTACTAGTCTAGTTCTCACTAGATCGCATCCTCGAATTCTTAGAAAGTGCAAAATATTCCAGCATATTCTGTGCTCACTGAATTTGATTGTTCATCATAATCTTTTGCCCTTGATCTTCTTTCACCTTTCTTTATTCTAACCTATTTCTAACGGGTGGCCAGGACATTTTAAAAGAAATTTGTACTTTCAAAATGCATTTTGAATATCAAACAAAGTTACAGAATAGTTTTTCTCTAATGACAAATAAATAATGAGCTTTATGTTGGGAATGCTAGATTTGTTTAAATATTAAAGAAGAAATTTGCAAAAGACAGCTATAAATATGGAGCAGGGCTTTAATAAAGGATCCAGCAGTGAAACACAGTTTGGGGTGTGATCATGATAAAGGTGAGAGTTGAAATGCATGTGCATGTGTGTGTGAGAAAAAAAAGAAGAGCAGAGTCTAAGAGTTGCACCTTGGGTAAGGTTTGCCATGTTGGAGCAAGAAAACAAGAAGCAAGGAAAGTTCTTCCTGGAAAACAGCAGGTCCGGAGTGACTCTCCTTTCATCTGTAGAGCACAAAGTGCTTTCATATTCATTTGTCTTCACTTGACACCCTATTGCACTCCAGAGAGCTCTTTAGAAGAAAGATATTACAAATGGTAGGTATTAAGATAATAAACATAAAAATAATAATAGATATTCAAGACCTTTAAATAGAAGGAGAGTGCTGCCTGTATTCATCACTAAGTGGTTTGGATCAATATCAAAGGATAATGAGAACTTAGTGTAGAAAAAGCTTAGGACATCTCTCTGTACGCAATGAGGTGACAAACACCCTGAAGAAGAGGGGTGGTATCCTCTCCAAATGTTCCCTTCTGTCTTATCCAGAGCTCCATTAGGCCTGCCACTAATTCAACAGATGATTAGAGAGATTCATCAACAGATGAATAGAGAGATGATTGCTGCATGTATAATGGGACTTCCATGTTCCCAAGAGAAATTCTAACATCACAGGCCCTAACTTCATCATTAGCAGATGATGGACCTTTATGAAGGGAATGGTTTAAATACATGTTTGATGTTTTTTTCTAGTAAACAACTGAAATGAAATCTATTCCCTAAAATGCCATTTTATAATAGTTACTCCAATGTGCAAATATGGTTTGAGATTCTGATGTTATCCAAGCATTTCACAAATGGAAAAAATTACCTCTGGTAACCAGCACTAAATTATCATCTTCCCCAAGAAACACTTTAAATCCAATTTGAAAAGCTATGGAACATTACACACACGCCCACACACACAGAGGCACACATGCAAAACTATGCCCACCATGAATATACCAAAAACTGGACAGTGGGTGACTTATTAAACAGTTACCTTTTTGTCCAGTAACTCGTTATTAATTCATCTAAAACCTAACTACGTAATTGGCAGAATTTAAATTTCAGGTTTGCTTCTTAGTTGTACTCGAGATGGGGCAAATGAGGTACCAGAGAACTGAAGACTTGAGCTCCAAGTCTTAGAGAGATGTTTACAGAAGGAAGGATAATATGTCTGGTGCTATCTTTGGTATTATATGTAGTTTCTGAGCTCAAGTTTTCATATTTGACAAATGCAATCCTACAGATATTCAGATATGAGCATGAGATTTGGTACATCCTCACTGTATTTTCAGCCATTCAGTTCTCACTGTCACCTGGAACTTGGGGCTCTGTATGGCACTGACTCTTCATCATGTCTCGCCTAGGCAGAGTCAGACAGAATGTTATAATGTACTATATGTCAACATCCCCACTTTTAGCAATGCCCTTCCTTGCCTGAATTTTAAGAAAAAAGAAGTGTCCTTATTTTTAAAGAAAAAATTCAAGTTTATAATCTAAGATTTCTGTTACCAAATACTAAACCAATACAAAGCAAATAAATATTTAACTTGCAATTATTTTTCCTACTGATGAGAATCTAAAATGTTTTCCTTTATATGAAACAAAAAACAGGCTAGCTTAGATCACCTCAAATAAACTATTCTTATATCCCCTAAATCATGAATTTAGATCAAACAGGTTTAGCTGTACCTCCCAATTTTTTACATTGGATGGGGCCATAGCCAGCATGAAATCTAGCCCTTTCATTTTACAAGTGGAATAACTAAGATCCACACATTTTAAAAGTCTTGCTCAAGGCCACACCATAGATCCTAGGAGAGCCAGAATGAGAATGCATTTTTCCTTATTCTCAGTTCCGAACTCTAATTGAAATATGCTGAGAGTATAAAGGGGAACATATGAGTGTGTACATAAGTGTGTATTTGTATGCGTGCGTCCATTTGTTTAGTCTCCTTCCTTGGGTAGAATAGCCCTACCCCCTGCCCCCAACTTTTCTTTATGCAGCCAATCCTTTCTCCTCAATCAAGACCCAGTTCAAACACCATCTCTTCCTGCCTTCCTGCTGCATCTCAGGCAGTGCCCATTGCTTTATCTTCCTGGAAAGCAGGTAAGTCATTTGGGTAGCACAATTGTCAAACACATCACAGGTCTTTGCAAATATTTTTGTCCACTTCACTGGAGTAGATTATGAACTATCATCACTATATTATGAATCCCTTAAGGATTGGAATCATAGCCTCTTTGCCTTGGAATGCATGGTGCCTAGAGGAGTGCTTGATGATGGTGTGTGCTCCATAGGGGGTTGCAGAAATGGCTTGATGTAATTTAGACCAATGGAGCAAAAACCTTAGTCTTCAGGGTAATTACTCTAACTAAGAATTGTACTGTTACAGTTGGCGCCATACTGCACTTCACTTTACTCAAGTATAAGGATCTAACTTGAATAAGAACTTTGGGATGTTGAGGGTGGGTCACGTACTATTTTTTCAGAAGCAACACTGGTCTATGCCCACAAATTTGATAACCTAGATGAAATGGACCACATCCTTGAAAGACAGAGACAACACTGGCATGTACATTTCCCACCAAGTCTTATTCTGAGGAAACAGTACCTGCAACTTCTCATAACCTATTGAAACCTTCTGTGTGAAGATACTTCTCAGCCATTTATAGCTATTCTTTAAAAGTCATCAGAGATAACCTGAAGTTTCAGGCCTCATCTTAAGTGGGTGATGTTTAAGTTAATGATCTGTTCACTAGCCTGAAGAGTTGCTACTGGGGAATATCTGAACTATCATATCTATTTCTGTAAGGCCATAAATAGATTATTTAGAGAAGGCTACAATTTTGGAATAGGTGAATGAGACCTTCAAGGACAAGACAAAGAAGAGCCAGCTATCTAGCTCAGCTGTGTCTCCAGTGACTTATTGTGGAAGTTCATTTATCCTAAGCTCTATATCTAGACCTCCCCAAGCTGAAATATGACAGATTTTGATTAGGGGAAATTAGGGGACCACTCACACAGTTTGCCCTGTTTTAACACGTACCATCATCAGCTGTCTTTGTCTTTTGTCTGTTTCTACCTTCCCTCCCACCCTCCCTACACTTCTGGTTCATAATCAGTTTAGTTCCTAAAATGTCCCTTCTTTGCACCCCTTTATCTGTTTTAGGACTATCTCATTTCATCCCTTTAGCCTCACCTTTTACCTCATGTCCCACACTGGACCATAAAAAAAGAGACTTGAGGGGCTTCCCTGGTGGCACAATGGTTGGGAGTCCGCCTGCTGCGATGCAGCGGACGCGGGTTCGTGCCCCGGTCCGGGAGGATCCCACATGCCGCGGAGCGGCTGGGCCCGTGAGCCATGGCCGCTGGGCCTGCGCGTCCGGAGCCTGTGCTCCGCGGC